GGGGAAGGTTATAGAAGGAAATTTGAAGGTGCCTGTACTCACTAAAGCAAAATAAACAAAACAATGAAACCCAACAAAAGGTATTTAGGAAACAGTCCTGATTTAAGCATTTGGCTAAGAAAACAAAACAAAACCCCAGAATAGCATGATTTTTTTTCTCGAGGCAGTCATTGTGGGGAGGCGGCAAGAAACACTGAACACCTACTAGATATTCTTAAGAACTTGAAATCAACTTTTCAAAATAAATGAAACAAGGAGGAAGTCTGCATTAAATCAATAGCTAAAGAATCTTCATCACCGGAATGCATTGTTTGTGCAATCTGCAGTTTCTACCCATAAACTTGGTGCTCCGCTTTAAATTTCGTTTCCAATATTTTTTTGTTAAATCGTCCCATGTAGTTTGTAGTTGCTTGCAGAAGGCGAACAGTCAATAGGGCTTAAAGGTTGAGGCTGGTGGAGTGGACTGTAGGACATGAGGGGTGGTCAGAAGTACATAGAATGTTTAGACAACAGTCCAGCCAAAGCCCCCCACCTATCTGTAGAAGCCAGTTTTGTCTCTGGGGGTCAACTATGCCCCCCAAGAGAAAGGAACATATTTTACAAATGCATTAACTCCTTCTAATTTAAAATCAATGTTTCGGTCACCTTTTTTTTTTCTTTCAAAACTCATATAAACTGCCCCAAATAAAAATACATTGACAGAGCTTACCGTCCGAATTGGAAGTAACTGTTTTGGAACTCTGAGACTGTAGTTTGATATATCTCAATCTATCTCTGTGACTGTTTCTATCTCTGTCTAGTAAATGTTGTTGCTAGTACTATGACTCCTCCTCGGGAGGCTTCTCAGACCACAGTCTCTACAATAGAAACACTCCCGCCGCCACCCCACCACTCCACAACTCTATCCCATTTCATTGAGTCCTGTCTTTAGTTTCACTCACTCTCCCTGCCACTACAATGGAGGCTTCATGATGGCGGGGACTTTGCCTATAGTGGTCACTCAGATTACACCAAGCTCATAGAATACAAAGTGCCTAAGACAGACTTAGGATTCAACAAATAGTTGTGAACTGGGAATGTTCAGCACATGCCCACTAACTAGGATTAGCAACTGAGCTGAACGCTGAAGCTATAACCATCATGAGCATGGTAAACATGGGCCCTCACCTCACATAGTTTATAGTCGAGCATATTTGTAAATATTTATATAGATATCCAAGCTTTTGGCCTTATATTTGTGTTTCCACAGCTCTCAACCAGTCATTGCAAACCATTATCCAATCAGGGTGAAGGCATAAGAGTAAAAACTCTTCAGGCCTCTTTAACCATAATTACATAATTGAAACCTGCTCTTAGTAAGAGGAGGAAGAAATGGAAGGACTCCATGTAGTCAAAGTTAAAATTTTAAATCTGGGATGCCTAAACAGTGATCACTAAGTGATAAATATCACTTACAGAAACTACTTGCAAATTACTTTGAGGCTGTTTTGAGAAGTGTAGATCCTGCTCAGCTACTGTTTTATTAAAGGAGAATCTATTTCTCTTGTTTTGTTCACCTATCTGTAGCGTGTGTTTGTCTCCATCTAACTCCCAAGATGCTAAGAGGGGGTTACTCTTCAGATTTGGGGAAGAACCTTCAAGGCCTTTGTAGGGAAGTTTTTGCTCAAATCTGCAAAAGCTGTTCACCTAATAGCAGAGATCATGTATGTCATCTTGCATTGGATTAAGGAAGAAAAAAAGCCCTTCACCCATTTGGAACCGACCTTGTATGCCCTTCCTAAAGGGAAAAAAAAATGTGATGATGAACTTGACAATGGTTAAAGAGAAAGATACTTCCAACGGTCAAATAACAGCTAAATGATTCATATCCAGAATGAATTTCTCTTATACATTAATAAGAAAAAAACTCCCCAAATCACCCAATAGGAGTTGGCAAAGCACATGACTGGGCACTTCACAAAGGAAGAAACCCAAAGGACCAATAAACATGAAGAGGCACTAGATTATACTAGTAAATCAAGAAAATGCAAACTGAAACAAGAAGATGCCCTTGCTGAGCTCGCAGTCTGCCACTATCCAGTATTGGAAAGGGTATGGAGAAGCAGGCACTTAAGTGCATTGGCAGTGAGAGTATATTGGTAGGACCATTTCAGAGAGTAATTTGTCAACATGTGATAAAATCCAGCATGCCCCTAGTATACCTCTCAGCCATTCTAATTCCAGGGAAGCACCTTACAAGAACTTGAGCACATGTACGAGGCCTAGAACTGTGTGAGCGCTTCCATTGCAGTATCCTTTGTCTGTCTCAGCTCAGGGTTGACTCCTGGCTATGACCCTTGCTCTCTGCGCATAAGCAGTAAAACGTTGACCAGTTGAACAATGCATGTCCATGTGAAAATTCTGAACAATACTGCCAAAGACAAGCACATGAACGAATAAATCGGGCAGACCATTTTAATACAACTGGGACCTAATTCCATACAAGTATTTATTGTCTACACTACATGTGCAGTGCCCTATGAAGAAGATAAAACCATAAAAGTCTGGACGTGGTCCTTCACAGTCAATACGTAGGCCCAGCAGGAAAAGCACGGAATTTTCGGCAAAACAAAATCAGAATACATTTCTGACTCCTCCTCGTAGGAAATGAGTGACCCTGGGTTAGATATTTAAACCCTCTGAGCCTAAACTCAATCATCTGTTTTATAGGGGTGGTAATAATACCTACCTCTGGGTAGATGATGGAATTAGGTACAATAAGTTCCGTGAAAATTCCAGACACGCAACAGACACTTAATAAACAGGAGTGACTGCATGGATACTAGAGTGTAATTGGGAGCTAAGACAAAGACAATGAAAATGTAATATCAGCACGAGTCATGCCTTGGGTACCTTTATACTCACAGTGCATAATGCATTGAATGGCACATAATAGGTAATTGATAAAGTTACTAAACGAGTACATGCCGAGGGGAAAGGAAGTGACTGACAGTGACAGAGGGAGGGAGAGGATGAAGGAATGTAGGAAGGAAAGAAAGGAAAGGAGGCAGGGAGGGAGGAAGACAAGAGAGGAAAGGGAGGGGCGGGTCGCGGGAGGGGAGCGGTGGGGAGGGAAGGGAAGGAGTGATACCCTTCCAGTAAATGGCACAGCAACTTCTATTTTTGGTAAGACCAGCAAATGGTGTAAGTACCCCAGAGAGGGGCACAGGCAGAACAGCAAACCCTTCTGGCTCTCTTTTGCCTGCATCATAAGAATCACTTTAACCAAAAGTTAGTTTTCAGAATGTGTTCACTGCAGGGGCAGAATCTGAGGAAGAATCCAGAAGATGCCTGAACGTGAAGCAAGAGAGGATGGGCTTCCCATGCCGAAGGCTGCTGGGCAGAGACGTGGGAATGCAACAAGACAGAAAGGCGGATGGAAATGGATTTCTCAGCAAAAATTCACAGACCCGGTGCCCAAATATAACAGAACCTGCTGGAAATGAGGCTCCCACCTTCGTCTGCAGGCTGGGTGACTCGTTAAGTCTGGGAAGTTTCTATTTGTTTTGAGCTCTTTGATGCTGCTTCACTCTTAGAAAAAAATTGGAACTTTAATCGGTTATTGATTCTCTGCTTTTCCTTAGCACTTGAACGGCTGTGGTTCTTCATTTTCTAAATCTTTTGAGGTACACTTTCCAAGAAAAGCTCATTCTGCTGCAATCTTAAAATGCCAGTGCCTTGCAGA